TAATCTATTTGAAAGCAGTTGTCAATAGAATTGAAAATGGAAGAATTATATAAAGAAGTAAAGGCAAAAGTGGAAAGATGGATGGGGGTGAGTGAGGTTGAGAACAGTGTTTGGTGAACAGCTCAACTGATAGAGAAAAAATCTCTCAGTAACCTCAATGTGGCAGGAATTTTGTTTTATTTACTGCTTCCCTAGTGCCTAGTATGGTGCCTAGGCAATGGTAGATAATGAATAAATATGTGCTGAATGAATAGAGATAGAATAAAGAAAAATGAAATAGAAAAGCTAGAATAATGGAGTTCAAGGAATGTGGGAGATGGATTTTAAGTTGGGAAGATGATCAACTTCATCATATGTTCCAGAGAAGTCAAGATGGATAAAGATGAAAATATACACTTAAATTTGAAGAGAAGGAGCCATTAGTGCCCATGGGGAAGGATCTCTCTGTGAATAAAATCCAGATGGTGCTGCTTGAAGCAGGCATAGGTGGTGAATCAGGAGAAGCAGCTCACGTGGAACACTTACTGGTGAAATTTGAATTGATGTAAAACTCACTGTCATCATGTAGATTGCAACTCATAGCTACCCCAGAGGACAGAATAGAACTGCTCCACATGGTTTTCAAGGCTGTAAATCTTTACAGAAGCAGACTACCTCATCTTTTTGAAGGGCAGCTGGTGGGTTGGAACAGCTAACGTTTTGGTTTGCAGCCAAATGCCCTAACCACTGTGCCACGAAAGCAAAGCGAAAACCAAAAAGCCAAACTCACTGTCTTTGAGTAGATTCCTACTCGTAGTGACCCCACTGAGTTTCTGAGGTGGTAAATCTTTACGGAAGTAAATTGCCCCATCTTTCTTCCACTGAGCAGCTGGTGGGTTTGAACTGCCAGCCTTTTGATTAGCAGCCAAATATCATTGGCACTGCACTACCTCTGGTGCAGTACATAATAGGAAGAAACATGGGCTATGGAATGAGGTGGACTTGGGTTCAGTTCACCGATTAGCCACTTTCTGACTGTGTTAATGAACTAACTACATGAAATGCTTTGCCTCTGGCTGCTTGCGTTCCATCACTTGTTAGGTAGATAGGTGAGATGATATGTGTGTATGTTATGCATCAATACAATATATTACAGTAGAGTAGGTCATATATTATAATTTATACTATTTATAACTTAGTGTGAATCATACGGAATATCTAAAACCAAAAATATGTAGAAGTACAATACATTTTCCTTTCTGTTACCATCTTCAAGTTAATAAATATTATTAGCATCACCAATATTTTAGCATCCTAGTTTTTATTTTAGGAGCTCTGGGGTCACTATGAGTTGGAGCCAACTCGACAGCACATAACAACAACAATAAGTTTTTATTTTATATATTTATATTTTAAAAGTTGGATTTACTCCAGCAAAAACAAAACAAACAAACAAAACACTGTGTTTCCAGTCAGAAGGAAAATAAAAAGTCTATGCTTAATGGATGAATGAGTTCAAGACAATAGATGGTCAGTTTCAGAAATATTTGAGACATGAAAGGACTTGAAAAGTTCCGTGCCAATATTGTGTTGTCTGTGATATCTGCCGGTTTCCTTCCTGTGGGCAAGAGCCCCACTATACTTACTCTGCCTGTCACATTTATTGATCATATGACTTGGCCTTGACTCTATCCAAGAAAAGATTGAACTGGCTCCTATCCCAGGCAAGGTCAAAGCTTTCAAGCACTAAACACCTTTTAACATAATACGGAGGCTTAAACCCAAACAAAAAGGGGAAATTTGATTCACATCGCTTTCATGCTTTTACGGTCCATAAAAGTTGGAATGATTAGGGTTGGGCATGTTAATTATTTTTCCATAAATTTAAATGAAAAAAGCTCAACACATTTGTTATAGTCCTTTTCCAAGAATTAGAGGAATTATGGGTTCAGTAATGCATTATTAATATCTTACAACAAGAAGGGTTATGATTTAGCGGTTTATCTTTTTGGATGGAACTAGCTATAGGGCATTTGGTTTAAGACATAAAATGAAAGAAAATATCCTGTTTACAACCACCATGCATTGAAGGGAATTCAGAGAAGATGATAGCACAAACTGTTAATAACCTATAAGTAAAAAACAAATGTATAAATGACTGAATTCTCATTTTCTAACTGCTTCATAAGTTAAATAATGCTAGAGAACTGTTTTTGACTTTCACTTCACTTTTGAAAAGGTAACACAGTTCTAAGTTTTGCAGATATTGCAAAAATGTCAGTCAAAACAATAACTTAACAATTCTGTTATACTTACAACTCTTCCTAAAAGATTAATGTTTTTCTGTTAATATTTAGGTTGAGTCAGTTGTCCTAAATGACCCAATTTAATTAATCCACATCCCATATCATAGAGAGTTGGCTTTATTGATTGATTTGTTCATTTGTTTGTAGAATTGCCTTGAGTCTCTAACACTGGCTAGAACTTCTGAGGGCCTTACAATGACCAAAGCTTTTGCTAAGCACATCCAAGTGTAGCACCGAACTTTATTATCTACAAAGCATAATAAAGGAAAGGTCCTACTTTCTTTTCTGTAAGATTGAGAAAACAGCAACGATTCATATGAAAATGGGAGAAGATAAAAAGATTACAGGGATGGAGGAGAGTAGGATGGAGTATATAAGCAGAACATAAATTGATTTAATGTGATTTTCTGATAGTAAGCCTTTGCCTGTGTCACTCATATCTCTCAATGTATTTTCTGGTCCATGGGGTAACAACCTCATATTGAGGAATTATGAATGGTATAATTTCAACCATCACTAGGATAAATAATTATCCTGCTTAGCCCCCTGGTTAAGATGGTGTGATCTGGAGCTAGTTTCCTTGGGTTCATATTCTGTCTTTAATGTTATTAATGATGTGACCAGGGCAAGTTATTTTTCTAAAATAAGGATAACGGGCACCTATCTGATAGGGTTGTTGGAAAGAGTAAATGAGTGAGTATATCCAAAATGCTTTAAATAGGACCTGGCAAAATAGAAATGCTCAATACACTTGAACTGTTGTATTAATCAGCTTCTGAAATACTTTGGGGAATTGGTACAATGGTACAATGTTCTCACTAATGCCATACTACATGACTATAACAAGGGATCTGAAACGAAATTTACTAAGCTACAAAAAAGTTCAGGTATGTCAGTCTAAACTACTTTTCCTTGTAATAGAACAGTATTACTACCTGTGACAGAATCCATGATCATAAAGTTTCCCCTTTAATAAATAATAATTACTACTTAATACTACACAAGGGGTCTGGTTGCACAGTGGTTACAGCATTTGGCTGCTAGCCAAAAGGTTGGCAGTTCAAACTCATGGATCTTTGCTCCAAGGAGAAAGATGAAGCTGTCTGTTTCGGTAAAGATTGCTAGCTTAGAAACCCTGTGGACCAGTTGCACTCTGTCCTATCAGGTCTGAAATACGTGAATAAGAATGTCAGTACCATCAGTAGCCAAAAGAACTCTAAGCATATATATATATATCTAAGTGTGTCTTCATTTCCTCCAAACAAACGTCAATTCTATGGCAATGGGTTTGGTTTTGGTTGGTTTAACAGGCGAAGTATTTCTACAAACAGCAATGTCCTCTGCTCTCTCCCCATATGTGGAGGTTGTGGGGCCTCCGGATTCTCAGGACTCTTAGCTCTTACTTTTGTGTTCAAGGTACTTGTGACCTGGACATGTAATCCATGCATAGTAAGCACTTATGGGCAATGGGACATCTCAGGAAAGACTAGAGGAATAATAGAAAATAAAGCAACTGTGTGTGTGAAAGAGGGATGGAGAAGTCTATGCAAGATGATTTTCATCCATTAGAGACCTATGACAGAGTATTGCTGGGAGAAAAAGCTCAGGCATATATACTTTTGGTTTCACAAGCTCACAAATCAATCTGATTGTTCAGCAATTCAGCTAGGATCTGCTTTACATCTTGTAAACAAACACTTTTGGTTTTACCTTTTTGGGTTCTGGCATATTATTAATATAAATAGTGTAGATTCCACTTTTATTAAAACCAGCTTGATATACATCTGCACAGTCTCTAAATGGTTTCTCGTCCTCTCTTTTTCCTCCCTTTAGTAAAACTGCAAAAAGAGAGAGAAAAAAAATTGAAATACGTGAATAAGAATGTCAGTACCATCAGTAGCCAAAAGAACTCCAAGCATATCTAAGTGTGTCTTCATTTCCTCCAAATAAACGTCAATATTGCATTTACTAAAAAAAAAAAAAAAAAAAAAAAAAATCCATCATAAAGGCAATGTGAGATTTTGAGATGACTTATAAGATTACAAAACTGAAGAAAAATGTAGACAACAATTTCTAACTGAATTTTTTTGTATTTTATTTCATCATTCTGAATTTTTGGTATACCTTTTCCAGAACATCAACTTAAAGGACAAATGGTCTGATTATGTACTATTTCCAACTGGCACCAATTATGTCCACAATGCCTGTAAAATTTATGAAACATTCTTACAAACCATGCATAGGAAAAAAAGAAAAAAAAAAAAAAATGCTAAAGCGTTTTTAAAGGAGGGAGAGGCCAGGATAACAAATTCAAACACAAAGACTATATATAGTCCTTTAAAATACTGAAAGCATGTACTATTGTTCTTCTGCAGCTATAGGTTGAAAAGCTCGTAGAAATTTTTATGCAAAAACCCCCCAAAACGTTCAAAGTAATTAGATTTGCAAAGTAAAAAGAGTCCTGGCTTGATTTAAATATCTAGAAAGGAAATAGAACCAAACTTTTTTAAAAAAACTTTAATGCTGAGGTTAAACCACCAGGCAGATGATAAACAAATAAAAGAAAAACAAATGAATAAGACTTTGAGTTATATAAGGGAAGAAGTCACAGAAAAGATTGGGAGTCACTTGAAGATGGGAAATGAAATCATAGTCTCTACTGAGGAAAACCTTATTTTATTCACTGAACTTGGTCCACTATTTTTTAATTGGTACAATTGAAACAGGAAAGTGCCTCATATTTGGTCTTTCTTAGC